TCACATAAAACTTAAATTCAGGAACGTATTCTGATCCTAATTCAGGCACCCAAAGTGTGTGTGAATCATCAATCATTCATTCATTCATTCATTCAACATCTAATTTGTGCCAAGTGCTGTTTTAGGTGCTGAGATATAAAAACGAGTAAGTGACTCCTCTCATAGCTTCCACAAGTCAAAGTAGGTGCCAAATTAATGGTTATGTAGTGGGAGGAACAAGTAGCACAGATGAATATCAGGGAGGGAGTAATTATTTCTAGTAACTGAAGGACGGGCGAGATGAGGAGCTTTCATGAGAGGGAACACTGAAAAAAGGCAGAGTTCTCAAAATACATGGAAAAAAAAGACTTGAATTCATTTCACATTTTTTTTTATATAAGTGAATGCCTGTTTAAAATCACCTGTGAAACTTTTAGATGTAATATATGATGAGACATTTTTCTATAGGAACAGAAATAATTTCTCCTTCTCTCCATCCCGTTTTTTCCCTCCTTTGGAATTCCAGTCTGATTTTATCACTGGGGACATAGTGTAATCTCTCCCCCTCTCTCTCTTCCTCCTCCTCTTCCTTTTCTTTTCCCTTCCCCTTTCCCTTTTCTGAAACTGCAGTCAGATGTTATCATGGGGCATGATGTAATATCTCTGCCACCTTGAATTGAGGTCACAGTCTTCTGGACAGCTCTTTAATAGATTACCAAAGAAAAAATTGGACTTTCAAGTTATTCTTTCAGCTTTGGCTATGATCTGGTCCTCCCTGCATTTTAACTTATTCCCAATTTGCCTGTTTATTTTAGGTAATGGGACTCCTGACCAACCATGGTGGGGTACCTCATCAGCCCCAGACCGATTATGCGCTCTCTCCTCTCACTGGGGGCCTCGAACCTACCACCACGGTGTCGGCCAGCTGCAGTCAGAGACTAGACCATATGAAGAGCTTGGATAGTCTGCCAACATCTCAGTCATATTGTCCACCTACCTATAGCACCACGGGCTACAGTATGGACCCTGTTACAGGCTACCAATATGGGCAGTACGGACAAAGTAAGCCTTGGACTTTCTAGGGGACAATTAGTTTTGGAAAAAAGATAAATTCTACTCTTGCTTCAGAAAGGAGAGTAAAAAGCACGATTAAGCCTTACATCCCAGCATTACTATTGTGGCCAAGCCAGCTAATTGTTCCAGCAAGGTCTCCCTTATATAATTATTTTCTTAACTGATGTCAACAACATCTTGCAGTCATTAATTGCTGAGACGTGAAAACTGATTGCCTCTAAGTGAAACACAAGGGTTGGCCAAAATGAAACAACCTCTAGCATTAGAAACACATGTTCTTAATGAGGTCAGCTTTTAAGGATTATATAGGGTATAATCCCAGTGACACAGAGTTGTGTCAAACTTGTTTTAGGAATAAAAATATTAGTCTTCATCCTTTGATAGCATGGTATTAAATATGACATCGTCAGCCTGTAGCTGATGTTACTTCTGATGGTGAATTGTCTCAGCATAACCTAAAAAGCTCCGTGTGTTTCCTTACAGGTGCCTTTCATTATCTCAAGCCAGATATCGCATAAGTGAACTGTCCACTTGGAGCTAAAACTGGCCTCGTTTCCGGTCTCCACAGCCTAGATATGAAGAATCTTCTCAGAAATAAAAAGAAAAAAAGTCACCTTTTTAGGGAGCAGTCCCAACAGGAGTCAAATGAGAGTGATTGATTTTCTTTCTCCAGTAGTTGGTTTCTAATTCTTTCAAACATGTTGGACGAAAGCAATGAAAAAGAGGAAGACCTGGAGCAATTAAATACAAAAGCAACATTTTAAGGCAATGGTTTAACATGGCCACATATCAAAATATCCCAACTCTTTAGTGCTGATGATCAAGGACCTAAAACATTCCATTTGTGTGAGTGTATCTGAGATTTACCTGGACTGGTTTGGGCAAGCAGAATGTTCTAAAATATAGTAGGGGAATACTCTGAAGTATAATATGTTGGATGTCCATTGCTTACACTTCCACAACTTTAAAACTGCTCACTTAATGAAGCAGGCATGGAGGAATCCTAGACTTTGACACACTGGAAATTGACATAAAAATAAATGCCACCATAGTTAGGAAGCTAGACTAGATGTAAAGGACCTCCCACATAAATTATTTGTTATCATATTCTCACTTGTATCCTACTTGTTAATAAATGTCCTGGACACATCTTGCTAACAGGATATGGGATAACAGGAAGAAAAGCTTATTTCCTTTTCCGGTGCAGGGAGAGGTATGTGACATCTTCCCAATTCATGTTCATTTGGAAGCCAGTCTGGGCAGGGAGAAGTGACACGCATTCACATATCTGCTTATCAGTGTGCAATACTGTGTACCTCATGGATGCTTTGGCAGTGGCCATGGCGATGTAAACAACAGAACTACATATTTGCAGGTGCTTTTATTTCTGCAGCCCGTAATTCATTGTGGTGCGACGCAGTGAAGTTTGCCATTTGCTGGACAACCGACACCTGGCTTGCTCCTTTTAATTAGAGACTGTGTCACAGAATAATGCTTTTAAAATGATTCCGTTTACATTCTTCTCTTTTCTATGAAAGGCAGGGCAAGAACAGGAATGGCCACGTGGCTCTCGTGTACTTTTAAATTATACCATGATATCCAATATTAAAAGATTATAGGAACTGAGGTTTACGTTTTTTAAGTAGAGACTGTGTCACAGAATAATGCTTTTAAAATGATTCCGTTTACATTCTTCTCTTTTCTATGAAAGGCAGGGCAAGAACAGAAATGGCCACATGGCTCTCATGTACTTTTAAATTATACCATGATATCCAATATTAAAAGATTATAGGAACTGAGGTTTACGTACGTTTGTGTGGTGACATTTTAGAATGTCAATAAATTTGTTTTTTGAAGTGTTGAGAAGAACAAAAAGGTGAAAGGCAGTGTTATTTATTTCTTTCTATTCTTGGAACCATGAATGAGGTAGGCACAAATCCATTCCTTTTAGAGTTAAGAACTATGACCTAGTGAGTTAGTGAGACTAGACTAGTGCCGAGTGCAGTTCACACATTGGTCCCAGAGGGTGACTGGATGAGAGAACTACCCTTGTGTTGCAGTCTCAGCCAACAACAACGTGTTGTAAAAATGTCTTTCATGTAAAAAGTGCAGTAAATATTTACTATTTATAATGAATAAACAGTTATGAAAACTTGCCCAACACTGCTTTTTTGGGGGGAACTGGGTGAATGTAGTATAAATAAAAATTTGGTAGTGGGGAGCCCAGCAAAACATATACTTTACTTCTAATGGTACCTTTTAGATCAAAATATAACTTGGACAAATAAGGTTACACAACCCACGGTTGCATATTCTGTATATTCTGGAAGCTTGGTTCAACACAGTTTTAAGGACTGAAGTTTATATTTTCATAGGTGTGGAGTCTAGAAAAAGCCCTCCAATCTACCTTCCCTCCTGTCCCCTTGGTCGTCTCAGAGCTATTAAATCCCTTTACTGTCATTTGGAAGTGTCACATTCCAAGTTTTCCCTGGAGTGCCAACAGTTGGAGTGCATCTTCATCTCCAGTAGTCATCTCCACTGACATTTTTACTTAAAGCTCTCATATTTTATTTATTTTATCTTAGCAGTTTACTTCATTCTTGTTGGAAAATATTACTTTCTACTTTGTCCATTCTTCCTTCCTCCCTCCCTCTTCCCTTCCTCTCTCCTTCCCTTCTTTCCACACTTATCTAATGAGAGTCTAGAAGCGCCAGGCGTGGTGCTAGGCACTGATGTTATTTTCAGCAGTGCTCATTGCCTAGTGGGTAAGGCAGAGGAGTAAATGCAGACTTTAAATAAAGCGTGAGGACTGTTATTATTGCCAGGCGTGGTGCTAGGCACTGATGTTATTTTCAGCAGTGCTCGTTACCTAGTGGGTAAGGCAGAGGAGTAAATGCAGACTTTAAATAAAGCGTGAGGACTGTTATTATAGGGGAAATGGTCATAATACCCTTTGAAGCTCTTACTTGTCTTAACTTATTTATTCCTCCCAACGTCCTATATAGGCCAGGTGATGTCAGTAGCATTCCTCTCTTACAGATAAAGAAACTGAGGCACAAGGAGTTTACGTGATATCACTCAGTGGCAGAGCTGGGACTTGAACCCAGGCAGCTAGATTCCAGAACCCAGGTGCTTAAGACGATGATCCTTTGCTTTTTCAAGTCCAGACTGGTGTGGGAGAACCTTTCAGTCAGAAATATCTAAAGGGACACTTTCTAATTGAGTAGCCACTAGCCATGTATGGCTATTTAAATTTAAAGTAATTAAAATAAAATAAAAACGTTAGTTCCTCAGTTGCACGAGCCACATTTCAAGTGTGTGATAGCCACATATAGCCAGAAGCTGACGTATTGGGCAGTGTTTCTGTAGAACATTCCAGAACATCATCACAGAAAGTTCTGTTGGTCAGCTGATCTGAAGCATGTGAGTTCATCTTTTAAAAATCCTAAGGACTTGCAGTGCAGTAGGTAAAATTGTCCAAGTTTTTAAAATGCCTTAGCTCTTTTTAACCCACACACTTGTCCTGATCAAATATGTTGCTCTTTTTCTGACAATTATCTATTCCAATATAAGGTAATAGATATAATATAATATATAATACAAGAAGAAGAAAGGAAGGTAAATTTTACTGAGCATTTACTTTTGTTATTTTGTTTAATCCTCACAAACTCCTGTGAGGTGGGTATTATTAGCCTCAATTTACAGATGGATGGACTGAGGCCCAGAGTTGTTAAGCAATTGGGCCACATTCACACGTAGCCAAAAACAGCAGGAGGAGGTATGACTTCTACCCAGCCTGGGGGCAGAACCTGTTTTATTTTACCTCTCCAAATGCAATATCTACTTTATTATATCAACCTATCCTCATGCCAAACTCAAGATGAAAATGGGCTTTTTTTTTTTTTTTTAAATCATTCGCTCCCAATATATGAGAGGAATGGTACCAGGATTCAGATTATACAACAGAAACTGGTCGTACATGATCACTTTTGTTTCTGTCCCGTGATCTCAGAACCCGCCATGTGTGGCTCATCTCTTTTTGATATGCTTTTTTATGCCATTCTCTTATTTCTGCATGTCTTTGAAATCTATTGCTCTGCTTGCATTTCTCATGCTAAAATTCTCTGTAGATCTTTTTTACTTCTGACTCTTTTTTTTTTTTTTTTGGTATTTTTCAGTCTCTGGGGAAATAGGGACCTGATTTTTCCCAGTTGGGGTCCCTACTCATCCCCTGGGACAAGAAACCCAAAGGACTCTGAACCCTTGGCATTTAAGTAAGCTCAAACCTGATTATGGGGAAGGATTCCCCGTTGTCCACGTAGTTATTTGATTTCATTTGAAAAATTAAAAGTAAAAACTGAAAATCAGAACTCAAAATTATTGAATTGTAGATGTACTATTGTCATCTCCTGAGCCATTTCTTGGCAGCAATTTTCCTAGGAACAGATATCATATTTCACATCCATGATGGAAACATACTGTTTTATGCCTTTAATTAGCTCAATCTGGAAATGTATTTTCACACACACTTGGATATTTAGGGAACATCTAGGTTAGGAACGATCTTCATCAGTGCTGGCATACAGAACCAGAGCAATGGACAAGATCACTGGCTCACGGTTATGAGTATAGAAAGGGTTTTAAATGGAGGAGAGGATGGATTAATTAATGCCCTTTGTGTGAACATGGCATGGAAGAATCTATCCTCCAACGATATAATTAAGAGTTAAAATTAGCACATGGGACCAAGGTCTCTATAAGAAGGAAATCTAATTCAGGGATAAAGACTTGGGTCTAAACCATTCTGAGTAAAGGATTTTTGGTGTTTAGTCATTTGTAGATAAGGAGAGCTTGTGCCAAACATGGAGGAGCATGACAAGTGACAAGCGGCAGCATTTATGCAAAGAGATCCACACGGCCAGACTCAGCCTCAGACAAGTGCTCATGGATGTGGAAGACAGTGAGAGAAAAGGAAGAAACAGAGCGGGGTACAGGGCTTCTCGCCAAACACCAGTTATATCAGCTAGTTCTACCTTTTTCATTAATCACCCTTTGGTATTCCTGACCATTGCATGCCAAGTGCCTGCACCATGTCTGGCCTATAATGGGTACTTGATACCCACCTGTTGAATAAATGAATAAATAAGTCAAATGAAGAGTGACTCTTTTACACGGTGCCTGCATAATCTTCTGGACAGGCAGACATTCGGCTCATGCAGGACCAAAGGCACACAGACTGCCTCAAGGTTGGATTGGTGCAAAGCTTTAGGGAAGGAGTGGGAGGCAGGAGGCCAAACCAATCACTGAAAAGCCATATTTCTGGTGTTCCTGACTGATGCAGAGGCACAAAACAGCCATTTGTTGGATTCACCACTGCGAGGATTAGGGCAGAAAGGCGAAATCACTATTTGGTTGATTGCTTAGAAAAGTGGCTCTTAGCCAGGCCCACCCAGACCAGCGGACTCAGAATCCACAGAGATGGGTGAAGGAGGGTGACAAAGAGCGAGCTCAGGGAGATGCCTTTGGCTGCTTTGAAGCCTTGGCTGCACCTCACCAGGTAAGTTTTCTGGGGCTTGGAGCGGTGGTCAGGGGCCATCCACCACGGCACA